GGTTTGAAAAAAAATTGGTATCGTTGCATCCCTAATATAAATATATAATTACAAATAAAGAAACCAGATGAATCCTGTAGCCTGACAGCTTTGAGTGGACTGGCTGACTCACTAAGCCCCGCCTCCATGCACACGTACACAAAGTTGGAAAGTTGGGCTGTGAAGAGCAGCACAAAGGCTTGTGACGTTTGCAGCTCTGGAGGCACAGTGATAATAGGTTTATCAGGTCTGAATGCCAACTGGTTGGAAAAGCTCATTAAACAGCCATATGAATTTAACCAGAGGAGAAAACGCAGATGTTTTCCACTAATGCGTTTAGGTCAGCATCACCAAGCAGCTCTGCACAAGCTGTGCAGGTTCGGTAATCGTGTGAAAAGAAAATTTAAAAAGGAGAAAAAAAAGACTCCGTTTGCTCACATTGATCTGAATAAAGCTTCCTCCTTCCTGCCTGGATGGTTCACAATCAGTCAGTTTTCACCAGCAGCTGCTTAAAGTAATGCAGGCACAAGTTTCCATGTTTAAAAAAAAGTGTTAATTATTAAACTAAAATGTCATTGTGTGCTTTTTCTTTTTCCCTTCATAAATATTATCAGCAACAGTAGGCTGGCATCAGGAGGAATTATCCTGGCAATATATTACCAAAATAAAACCATTGAGCTGACAGGACGATTAAAATGATTCATTTACGGTTGAAATTCTGAATGAGGGACGCCTGCTGATTATTGATTTTCTTTTGCTACTACTTTTATGATCTCTGCATCTCTCTGCTCCAGAGATCTTCATCTGTATCTGTCGCTGTTTCTGCACAATGTGCACAACCTCCTTCCACCCTGCACCCCCTCCTGCAGCCATCCCAGTTGGACCATGACAATCCCATTCACCCTGGCAATATGTCATTCCTGATCCGATTAGTATCAGCAGCACTTGAGAAACCGCAAGCTCCTTGTGGCGAGGGTCCTGAGAGCGAGGCATCTGTTGGCTCTAACTGGGGAGACCAGGCCGGGCCGGGGGTGGAAGCCAGGGGTGAAGGCCCTCGATAATCTACTGCAGACACGTGCCCGAGTGGAAACCAGAAAACAGCAGCCTCATCCTCACACACACACGCAAAATACATCAAAGCGAATTGACAAATTCTGAGGGAATGCTCATTAAATCTGTAATATGATTCATAATTATCTGGACAGCTAATTTTAAGAAAAGCCAAGGCAATCTTGGCAGCAGAGGCACTTTTCTACATTATGTCCTGGGCCGTGGCGTGAGAAGGCAGAAGTCTGTGTTTCTTTAAACTAAACCCCTCCTCTTAATTCTTTGTTTTATTCCTCAGCCCCTTTGTCCCCTCTGGGCTGAAGGGCTTCTTTCGAGAAAAGCAGGATAGAGGTGTAATCCTTAAAAACCTCGCTGTAATGCTCTCATGCTTCCCAAGATCCACTTTTTTAATCCTCATATACATGTAGAGGATTCATAAATCCGGCTGCAGCCTGACAAGATAGTAAATCTAGTAATATTACGACTGGGTGCAAAAACGAGAAGATGTCATCTACGACATGTGGCACAGAGATGTGATGATTGTATGATTATGGAGAAGAAAGAATTCATGGAAGTGTGATTCTTTGACTAATTAAAAAAAATGAATCCATGAAAGAAGAAGCTCAGGAGGCACAGGACACAGTTATTTGTATAATAAGAGTCAATTTTATATATTTATTGGTTTTCTTGTCTGAGGCTACGTCCACACGTACACGGGTATTTTTGAAAACGGAGATTTTCCGTTTT